CAAATCAAAGAGTGAATTCTAAAATGAAGGATTCACCATTTAGGCAACTGTAGGAGCAATATTGACTTGCCTATTCGTATTGAATGCTTATTCTCATCAATCAAATTTTTGAATTTTAGTAAGCTCTAGTTAGAGTTGGATTTTATATTCTTTCCATTCTTTCACTGTCCTTTTATTTAAAGTCATCACTTATTTTCTATACTTTTCTCTCACATTGAGAGAGAGAGAGAGAGCCTCAAACATGTGCAATTATCTTTAAATGTAATAGGTAATACGAAAAAGAAAGGTACTTCTTTGTATATATATGCAAGAAGATGTTAAAAGGGTGAAATGGCTTTATAATTTTTTTCAACTAATAAATGTTTTAAATATCATGCTAACACTTTGAGGGTCCATTTGGTTTAGATAGGAATTGGAATTGGAATCAAAATCCCCTAAAGTTAGAATTAGAATTGCCTATTCTGATTATCTGTTCGGTTTAGATAGGAATTAGAGTCGAATTCCAATTGTTTCTATTTGGTTCATCTAGAGCCAAAATCAGATTCGACTAAAATTTTTAGTTTTTTTTATTAATTTTTAATATTTTATTATTATATTATTAATAATTAATAATTAATATTTAGTATAGTATTATTAATTTATGAAAATTTTAATGTATTATTATTTTGTTTTTAATTTCTAACGTATTGTTATTTACTTATTAATTTATGATTATTTTTTATTACCTTATTAGTATTCATTATTTTACTAATATTTTATTAATATTAGGGTTTGGTGTTTTTTCAATGGTTCACTACTTTTTGAAAAAAGTATGGAATGGGAATCAAATTCTTATTTTGACCAAACAAATGGCATGAATCCTAATGGGCCTTTCTGATTCTAATTCCAGGCACCTATTTTGGGAAACCAAACAGACCTTGGATAATGAAAAAAGGAGGGTGGAATAGTAACTTTACCCCAAATTACAAGGATGAGCATTACACACCCCCGCCCCCCAACCCCCAAAAAAATAAATAAATAAAATAAAACAAAACCTATATGGGGATGACTAAGGTTGTGCTCGGATAAATTTGAGGATTTATGATTTTAGAGTTGAAAGGTAAAAAGCCTAAATTTAATTAAGCTTCGGGCTTAAAGTGTTTTAGTTCTAAATTATTATGTTTTAAAAAAGCAACTCTTACCGAACGCTCAAAGCTGAAAAGGAGAAGCTTATTTAAAGAAACACTAGTAATTATTAGTGATCAATAGATGAATACATTTGACTCAAACCCCTAGCTAGCTAATAGGGTACATTAAGTAATTTAACTTTATAAAGAAAATTCTCCCTTTTAAGAAGTCTTTGAATAAAGTGCTCTAGTTTGTTTCAGTTTGCTGGTTAAGGAAACGAGGTTTCGATTTCAGACAGTGAAGGTAATTCTCGAACCTTACGCTATCTCCACCACCCTATAAAGCCCTAAAATTGTCAGCTCGCAAATCTGCTTTCACATCCTCTTGTCTCTTGGTCTTGGGCCTGCCTTCTCGTTGATCACATTATTACTTTTCACATCTGTCCCTGCCAAATTAGTCGTCCATTTCACTGGTTTCCTTAATTTCCATCCTCATGACCTGAAAACCATAAGGCGGTCGTCTAGTGTGTTTGACAATTCCAGCAACTATCAAGTGTCTTGGGTTCATGCTAAATCATGGAAGCCTTTTATGATTTGTCAATCTCTGTGGTCCCTGAAGCTTTAGCTTCATCCTGGCTTCTTCTGATTCCTGAAATGCATGGGATGTCTCGTGACTCATGTCTATGGGGATGTCCTCTCCAAAAGCCATATTAGGGCAGGAAGGAACTGAGCTCAGTGAGCTTCAGAAGCAAACGTACTGTTTAATGATTCTCTCTAAGCTACTCTAATATAATCAGTGGAATTATCTTTAGGAGTTTGGCGTCATTTTCCCCTCCTTGTACCTCTGTCCCATTAGTGTTGAACTGGCTTTGCCAATAATGTAATCCAGTGTTGCATGGAGAGCTAATTAATAATTCTGTCTTTGTCACATAGCTTTTACTCAAGCTATAAGCCTGGTCTAGTTGGTAGGACTGGGTTGGGTTTCTGTGGCAAGAGTGCTGCTAATCTTCTCTCTTATCTGGGTCTTGGATTAGAATTATTGTTAGAGTTGTAAACTAGTGAACTGAAGCCCCACCACCCATGATTGGAGTCCCCATTTCAAACTTTGCCTTACTTCTCAAGTACACAGTCTGTGCACTGATGCAAGCAACCATGATAATGTTGCTGCAAAGGATCAATTTAAGATTTTGATACTCATGAGGTTATGGAATAAAGAATCATGTAAGAGAGAGAGAGAGGGAGAGAGATTCATTATTTGATGGTCCTACCCAACTTTCATGACCAGCTACTCTGCTCTCTTGAACAGTAAATTTGGAATAATGTGAACTGTGGATTGTATGCTACCACATGGAAGGTAGGTCAGGGTCTTTACTCTTTGGGATCATTTATTAATTATATATGAAAGAAAAGATGTTGGTGGGTGGGGAGAGGAGTGAGAGAGAGAGAGAGAGCTTGGTGGGTGGGGAGGCCAGGACAGAGAGAGAGAGAGAGAGTAGATAGATTAGATAGGACATAGGTAATGAAATCTGACAATGTTCCTGGCAATTATGTTCACTTGGCACCGCCGAAAAGGATTGGTTCCATTGGCCCATCTGCATCTGCTTCTAATGCCTCGAGACTTTTCCCTCGCTCTCTGGTTTCTAATCCACAGGGAAACTGGGGGAGAGAGAGAGAGTATTTTGGAAAGCTGAATTCTCATATATTCAAATTTCAAAGATCTTTAGTGAAAAATAAAAACAAGAAAGAAAAAAGAAAACATGATTTGACGTTTCAGATTCTGTGCGCTCACTCTCACCCCAACAAACATGACAGCAACGATTCTCTCTCTCTCACGGACGATAATATTCCATGAAACTACAGTGCGCAAGGTGCATAGTGCGCAACCTGTCGTTTAGTTTCAGCAACTCTTTCGAAACTCGTAATATTTCTTTCTGTTAGATCACGTCATTAGATATGGAGAGAAAGAGATCCAAAGTTCAGTTAGATGAAATACCAGAGTTGTGCGTGTGAAGCCACAGTGGTTCTATAATCTATACTACTTCTTAACAAAGATTTACAAGCAACTCATAAAGAGTTATTCTGCATGCAAAAGATCAAGAAAGCTATTTTTGGCAAAAGAAAAAAAAGCTTGTAGGCATACAAGAGAATCTCTCTCTGTGAAGTAAACAAAGGGACTGTCTATTATTTCTCTGATCTATCTATCTATATATATATATAATTTCTTTCTCTGTAATCTAAGGAACTGTCTATTATCCAACGTGTGATGTGACCCATCTTCTCTGACTAAACCATCCATGTCTGCGGCATGGTTAAGATTCCGCTTAACGTTCATGGCTCCAACCTCCATGGAAGGATGGATGGTGCAAATTAAACAGTGACGTATCACCCTGAAAATCTACTGATTTCTTTCGTTTTTTTTAATGCTAAAATCTCTGTCATTGCAGTCTCGCACTTGCACGAATTAATTCAACGAAGGATGCTCATTGAAAAACACGCGTCTGTTGCTGCGTGTTTACTTGATTCATTAGTATGGTCAGTGTTCAGTTATCAAGTATGTTTGTTTGTTTGTTTTCCGGCGGAAACGAGCCAGCAGCGGTCTGTACGGTTATGCGTAGAAGCTTTGCTTGCTTTCGCGTGCCCAAGATGTTGCCATTGTTTTTTGGTGACCCCTCTCTCTCTCTCTCCGCACACATATGCGCCATCAAATTTGGTGTTTTTTCCTCCTGTTTTCTGATCAGACATTCGGACCTGAAATCTGAAGTTGACGGGTGAACACGAAAAGCTGCACCCATTAAATAATACATATACCAGAGAGAGAGAGAGAGAGAGAGAGAGAGAGAGAGCTTTAAACGTTGAATAAATGGCGTGGATAGAAGATTTGCACAATATAACCCCTTGTGTAACTGATACCAGATATAGTAAGGATAATTTAGTAGTAGAAAAAGTAGAAGATTGCAGAGAGATATAGGACAAGACAAGAATCTCAATCTTATGATCTCTAGCTCCATTCACCTTGACCATGAGATCTCTAAAAAATTTAGGTTGAAGATAAAAGAAGAAACTGTATATGTTAATTAAGCCCAAATGACTGACAGATTGATGCTCTATGGATGGCTTGGGCACTATACAACTCTTATCAAAGGATAATTATATGGGAGATTTAGTTTGTGTAGTTAATAGACTGAAAATTGAAATACATGCACTTTAATAGGTATTTTAATTTCTCTCTATCTCATTCATTTAACAAACTTTTCAACATTAATGGTGATTCAAATAAAAATAATTATGTGATTAATGTATGAAGGACATTTTAGCTAATATGAACAATTAAAGGCAGTATAGAGATGGGCTTGAAAAAAAAAAGAGAGAAAATGAAAATAAAAATAAAGTGAAACTAACGTCAATAAGACCTAAAAAAACAATGCTCCACAAAGTGAGCATCCAAGCTTTATGCCTGGAAACATTCATGTGTGATGGGATTCGTCTCAATGACATTAGATAAATAAACACCAACTACAATATGAGGAAAAAAAGCAATTTCATTTGAACATCAAAATGCTTAGGTTCCTGCATGTGCCTATACCTTTCTGTGATATGCGATTCCTTGTGATTGACTTACTGGTTATTCAAATTAGCTTCTTTAAAACATAGCACACACACACACAAAAAAAAAAAGAAAAAAAAAATCAGCATAAACATTTATGGGAAACATCATACAAGGTGCTTTCCAGTTTTTGTAGAAGCCACTGTCATTTGGAGACAAGCTTCTTTGAATCAGGAGCTATTGATCTGGCATTTTTAATGTTATGTTTTCATCATGAAAAGTTAAAAAAATATAAGAAATATTATGTTCTCATTGAGAAGATTATCCTCCCTCGAAAATTGGTGGTAACGTTTAAAAGTAAGCAAAACCGAATGAGGCCCTTAGTTATCAAGGAGAATGTGTTCATCAGTTTTGCATTCACAATAATTTATTATTTACCTTAATTATTAAGTTCATCATAAAAGAAATCACAAATATAAGAAAACCAACCCTTCAAAGGAATTAGAGAAGAAATAGGAGGAGAGCAGTAGAGATCCTTAAGAGGTTCAACAGTTCCTACCTCTTGGGTTAGGAGGCTTGGTGATCCTCAGGGTACTAGAAACTTGATTCTAGTGACAAGATATGTTGTCTTAGTAGAACCCTTGAGTCTTTTTCGGTCCTTCCCCAACAATTGCTTCATCAAGTTTTACATGCTTATTTCCATCGAGTGTTAACCCAAAATGAATGTGAGGAAAATGAGCCCACTGCAAGAAAACAATTCAATTAACCCCTTTGAACAATTTTTCTTTTTCATCATCAGTAACATGTTTTCAGTCATGATTATTAAATCAACACCAAGTTGTTCATCAAAAATACAAAATGTTCTTTAATGTAGGTACAAGCACATGGTTCTTACAATCAACTGCAATGTATAATAGGGTTTTACAATTAAATTATGCATTATTAAGTAATTTTGATTTTGAGAATGATGATGGGAAACAAAATAATTAACTACAATTAATACTAACCACCAATATAGGGTTGTTCTAGCATTTAATTTCTACGAAGAGGTGAAGAAAAATGGCAATGAACCAGGATTTCGATCAAATAATTAACCTCTATATGTAGTTTTGTGTGCCTCAGTGCTGCAGCTGGAATATTTAGATATGGGCGATTCAAATGAATGATCAATAGTAGTCTGTAAGGCTTGTGACTGCTGCTATGTTTGATCTCATATAGAGCTTCTTGCAAGGTTAGGAATTATACTCTTTGCCTAAAGGAGAAGTTACAAAGTAGAGGTCTTAAGAATTTTGCTTTGTCAATCAGAATCAATATTGTTAAGTAACAAATTAGCAAAGTAATTTGGCAAATGCATGGCATAAAAATGTGGTCTAGAACACAGTCATTGATTCAGTTACATGAGGCTTTATGTTATTAATCAAAAAAGGATGCTTGGATGAACATGGAGAAACTGTTACAGATGGAAAGCAGTAAAGTATGTAACCAATTTTAACCCATAGAATGATGAAAGAAACCTTGCCCGAATTCTTCAATTAGGGTTATTCAGAAGATTTTATTTCATATATTTACTTTGTTATTTTATGTATTCATATATTTAGCGTTTTTTTGGCACACATATCTAATTACTTTTACTAATTATGATTCTAATCTTAGCGTTAGCATTGTCACTTCAGTTGATTAAGGGTGATTTCATTTTTTAGAAAGAAAAAATGCAGTTGCTTTGTAAAATTAAGTTTGGGGCATCCTTACAATCTATAAGTACATTATAATTCTAAATAACTTTTGTAGGAATACCTATTTAATTCCCGTATTATAGATGGTTATATCAAGTATGGTCTTGAGAAATAATTCTATTAAGATATTTAGAAGCTATGATGACTCTGTGGTTGTCAATGAAAAGTTGTCTTAGAAATCCAGTAAAGCAAGCATACTTTGAATGTAGTAACATTCTCTTTAATACTTTTAGACATTTGTAGAACAATGGTACAGATATGTTTGACTGAGTTAAGATGAAGATGCTTTTGGACAAAGATATTAATTTAGACAAGCCATTAGAAAAGAAAAAACAAAACAACTATATAGGTTGTTTTGATTGCAACCTCCTCACAGTCCTTAGCTTTATGTGGTTCACTTGATTTTCAAACAATTATTTTACTAGGGTAAATACCAGTAGTTAACGAGCTCTGCCAGATTTTGTAAATCAGTTTCCATTTTGTTAATCAATTAAAGAAGCTCCCTCCAGTACTCAGATTAATAATTAAGGAATATAATCCTTATTATAACTCACATTTTTTGCTGCAGTGCTAAAGGCCTCCCTATGGCTAATTTCAGGGTTACTGGCCTTTATCCTTTGAATCTCCTCCCTGCAATTAAACAAGAAAATAAGAAAAAAAAAAATACTGCAAGACTTAAAGCTGCTTCAATTACCACGATAAACACCTAAAATTGCCACTAACATAGATGGTTAGCTTTGAAAAGAATGGTCAGAAATCATTGAACTCACTTAATAAATCGGTTATACGCCGAAGGAACACGCTGTCTCTTCTCTGGGGCTGCTAAATTCATAGTATAAGAAACATGGGCCAGTTTTAGTTGGTCAAGATCAACAGCACTAACATGAAAAATTAATCCAAACCTAATATATATGTTCTTGTATGTTGATATATTTGAATATGAACTGACCACTTTACTCTAGATTTAAAATTCTCATCTATCAATGGAACTGCACCTTTGTTTGCATTGTTAAAAGAATGGTGGCCTCAACAATGCTCTCATGTCTGTTTACTTCTATAAACAGTTGGGTGAGCAGGTATCTTTCAAGACATGACTACTTATATATGTTTTCATGCTGAAAATGTTATAGTTGTCAAGGACTGAAGTAAATTGCTCACATGTTATGTATCAGAACCCTGATGAAACTGGCACAGTTATAAATATCACCTCAATTCTAGCCACTGATACTGAGAGCGATGATGTCATTTTCTTTTCTGGGATTCACTCCGAATATCAAATCAAATGGTTTCAAGTTAACTGGTATTTTATTAAAATATATCACAACCATTTTAGTAAAAAAATCTATTATATGGAGAGATCAGTTTGCATTCAAAACAAACTTATTGTCCACGTAATAGTTCTATACTAAACCGGGCCAACCAGATAGAGAGCCGGCCGCAGTTACAAGCAGGTTGTAACATAACTGACTCTAATCTCTTATTTGAAATTTAAATTTGTAACTAATTACTTTTTATCTGTGGTGTACTTTGTGTCATTAATTGGTTATAAATACAAACAACTGACTCATCTGAATCATCAAGATATGGGATTATCAGTAAATGAATCTTTGAGACTTTTTTTTTGGTACAAATTCATTAAGTCGTTGTCTTTAGAACCTACAATTCATATTAAATATTGTGTACTTTCTTGGCTTTGAACCTTGAAATTTCAAATGCATGTGGTCACCACTTAGATAACTTATGCTCAGAGAGAGAGAGAGAGAGAGAGAGAGAGAGAGATTACGGCGCATTGGAAGCATTCGGGGTTGGTCGTTCTCTGCAGTGTCCAACATGGAAACCTTGTTGCATTTGGAAGAGGAACCAGAACCCTTAGTAGAATCTTCAGAGCTTGAATTGTGATTCTGCAACTTCTCTCAAAGAAAAAGAGAAAACTCTAATCAAATCTTTCCCTTGTTCTTTTCATTTTTTTTTAATTTTTATGGGTGACTAGGGATTTCATCTTTCCCTCTCCCCTATGAAAATCTCAACTCATAAATAAGTATCCTACTTCAACAAAGAAGAGAAATCAACTATTTTGATTGGAACTTTTAATTTTGCACCATTGTGCATGGTATAGAAGATACCAAGCTCTGTTGCATGAAAAATAACAATAAAAGAACCGATCAAATCAAACTGAAACAGTGTGAAAGCCCATCTGAAGAATTAGTTTGATAGTAACATTTTTAGATCAAAACTTCAATTTAGGAAAAAAAAAATTGACCCATTAAAACGAGAACCCCCTTCCATGAAAGACTAGCCTTTAATTTCCCTCCTTCATGAATGAGCAGAAGTTTTTCATACCTGAATATCTTGAAGAGGGAGTGGCTGTAGTAGAGCACCCATGTTCACAGACAGCAGGTTAGCACAATGCCCACATCTAACCGTTACAACATTGTACAAACTGGTGCTTGGAACGCTAACCTGCGAAGGCAAGAAAAAAAATGACTCTATAGTTTCAAGTTGACCGATTAGTAATTGAACAAAATATTTATATAGATCAGTAATGAGTAATAATTTGCCTTTTCTAAATATAAGTTTGAAGAAAGAACATTTCGAATGAATCAACCGCTTTCCAACTTGTCATTAACTGCATTCAACAAACTCTGTTATTTTCTTTGATTTCACTACTTCATTGTTCCACAGATAACAGTGTTTCTGGTGTACTCCTTTTATTTGTCTTCAATGGATAACATCCTTTTCAATTAATTATCTGTAGTTTAGAGACAGAAAATATATCACAGACCCATTTGCTTCTGTTCTGAACTCTAAGAAAGCCCGTATGCCTATAACTTTCACCAGTTGCTCACTAGATGGAATCCATTAATTACTTCCTATATTCAATCATTAAGGAATCAACTGAGTAATGGCTGCTCATAGTATGAGAAAAAGGGTGGGGGAAGGGAAGAAGTTGAGCAAGAAGGGACATAAACATGAGAGAGAGAGAGAGAGAGAGAGAGAGAGAGAGAGAGAGAGAGAGAGAAAAGAAGAAGAAGAAGAGTGAAGCTTTTATTTTTCTGCATTAAATATTTCTTTGTTCTAGACGAACGTCTCCTCAAGGCTCAATATCTCGAGCCTTACATGGATAAGGCTTAAGATATACAGTCTGTCTAGCTCTCATCCCTTTCGGTGCGCCCGACTTTTTTTCTCTGACACCAAAAGCAAGAAGAGATATTAATGAAAAGAAAATGTGCTGGAGAGAGACAGAGCTTGAAAAAGACGTGACTGGAACGAAAACCATAAAGCCCACTACACACAACTCTCGAACATGGCGGAGGGGGAGGGGTCTCAGGATTTNGGGGGGGGTGGTAAAGCAGCAGATCTACTGCTCTTGTTGCAGCAATTGAAATTACAGTTCTGATTTAGCAAAACCAAAGCGAAAAAGATAATAAAGGAAAGCTTTAAAGGTTCTGTTAAAGAAGACCTGTTATGATGAAAGGAGTTTGCAAAAGAAAGAAAAGCAGCGTTTGTGAAAAGCTTCAAATGGTGTTGAATTTTGGAATCCAACGCCAAAAAAGAGATAAAATCTTGATTTAGAATGTAGATTCAATGGCGTACGTAGATAGGGTTATATTAGAGGATGAGAACCCACACCCCAGAAACAAATTATAACGAATAAAGCCATCGAGAGAAACTGTGTAAGTTGTTACATAGTTGTAGCCATATAGGATAAATATAAATAACAAGACTATTAATAATTACCGAAAAAAAAATATTAGTAGTAGACACTTAATAAATGGAAATTATAACCAGGAAAGTAACACATCTTTGTACAGGAATTCAAGAAAGTGGGTAGATCTAAGAATGTGGAAGTTTTCCAAGTTCAACTGTATTTTGATTCTTGAGAAACCACAAGACCTAACTAACCCTAGAACTAACTCCAAACATAGACTGTAGAAATATCTTACTGGTTTTGCAGAGAGCGTGAGCGAGAGAGAGAGAGAGAGGGAGAGAAAGAGGAAAAAGAAAAGATTGTCATGGTCAAGGGAGCTTTTGGGTTTAGAAAGCTAGAACTAAAGCAACAAAAACAGTCTTGTTCCAGTGAAGATACTAGAGACGTCAGTTCAAGAAAACCATAAAACGTGAAAAGCTCCAATTTGACTCATCTCTTGGTCTGTGGGGAACCCTACGACCTACTCCTAGCCCTAAACATAACCGATATTCTCTTTTCATATGGATGGAAGATGCCCGGATTATTTCTGGTGAACCGCGCAAGATTATCATGGTGAAGGCAGCTCTTGGTTTTGAAAATATGATGTCCAAGCTATCCCTAACCCAGGTAAATATTGGGCTAAAAGCCTAAGAAGAGTTGAATGATGAAATTGTCTTTCAGTTTTGGGGAATTGTTTTCAGTTGACAGGACTGAAAATTTTGATCGACTTGCCTTATTTTTCTATTACTCTATGATATATAACTATATTAACAAATCAAAACCAACCAAATACAGTGGGAGTTGTTGCTTACTGTAATATTTGAGAGGTTTCTAAGTAACAATAAACGTTGATGAACATTTATTCTTTGAAGATTCAGAATTTTGAATCAAGAAATTATATATAAGGTCCTGGGACTGGTAAGACCACTTAATAATCATCACAAAATTACTTGTTGACGTGAAAAGAAATTTCTTTCTGTACATGAACTGAGTCATGAAGTTGTCTTTATTTGTGAGTTTGGATCATCACATCAAAATCCAAGGCCTGACAATTTTCTTTTTTCTCCAAAACTATAGAATTTGGATGTATATGAACAGAAATCCACTTAGCCATATCAAAGCTGCCGCGTAAATATTATGGAAAAATTAAACCAGGTTTTTGTACTAGTGATATAGACTGCAACCTGAGTGCTTTTTAGATTATGAAATCTGAATATGTAATTGGACAAGCCTGTGAAGCAGCTTCTTAAAGATTAAGAAAAGAGAGAGAGAGAGAGAGAGAGAGAGGTATACCGCTAAAATAGTGTTGCAAAAGTTGCAGTGGACATAGCAAACATGTTCAGATGCGACGTCGAGTGACATTTTCTGGTGAATTTTCGATCTCCAGATCCGAGAGAATTGGCTAGAAAAGGAAAGGAGATAATGAAGATGAACAAAGCTGTGGAGAAAGAAGCCAGCAGCAGCAGGAGTAACGAGGGAGAGAGAAAGAATGGTGGGGGATGTGGTTGGATTTTTAAGGAGTATAGAGATCTTTTGTACAAATAACAAAGATGAGCGATGGGATTGGTCGGGTCGGGAGGAAAAACCGGAGTGGAGGATAGCAAGGTGGGAGTACGGAGGAGTGGTTTTATGATGTGGAAAAAAGCGGTTTTTCTGGATTGGCTGGTTCTAGGTTCTGTCTGCTCTTGTATGTGTGTGGGTGTGACACTCTGTGTGTGCGCCTCTGAATCTGAAAGAGAGAGGGAAAGAGAGAGAGAATTATGATTGAGTGAATGAGTGGGTGAGACTCTCTATACTCCATCTGTCCTAGCTTCCCTAGCGAACTAGCTAGGGGACGCGCCAGATATTAATGGTTAGAATGTCTAGATACGAGAGAGAAATAGAGACTTTAAAGAGAGAGAGAGAGAGTAAACAGTACTTACTCTGCAATATTTACTCCACATAACTTTTCTAAACTTCCCCTTACATTGTTAATTATCATCCTGCTAAACTGATAGATCTACAATAAACGAAGAAAAATCGTAGATCAAAGAGGGTGAAACCACATTGTAACCACCATAAGAGCTTTAATTTAATGGAAATTACACCTTTTTATTTGTGGGGAAACTGCCTAAAGTAGTTGATTGGAGGAAAGAGAGAGAGAGAGAGTACTAGCTGTAGAGATCAGCCTTTTCTTCCTGCATGGATGCGCAGATAAAGGCAATTAATTACGAACCCCAACTGGTCATCCGTGAGTTCCATTAAGATCTCTAGCTAAGAAGCAACTTCCATCCAATCAAATCAACTAATACTTATCACCTCCAACATCTAAAGTTGTTGTCAATACTAAACAGACGAGATTCTTAAATGATCAAAGCTCCAAACATTTTCAGACTCTTTTTTCAGTCCCAAAGCCGGTCCACTGATCTGGGGTTTGTTTGCACTTCATCAATTTCATTTGTAGTGGTGCAAAATTATGGGGTTGCAAAATCTGATTTATTTGTTTCAGCTTTTGGCTTCTTTTGTCTTTGTAATATTGATGAAATAAAACAAAACCTGAAGCAAAGTAAACGAAAATACCCAAAAGCCAAAGTGAACCAGAAGTTACATTCTTACTCTTCTCGTTAACACTCTCATTGCATTTGTATTCGTGCAAAGGAAATTGCACTATAAACAAATGGAACCCTAGTTTCAAGTTTCAACGACTCAAATGGTCCCTCAAGCCATATCTAGGAAAATCACTGAAACCCACAAATTACATAGGCTTTGGTTGTTCCAAAAACTACCGAAAACTCCAAGTTTCTACCAGGACGGTAGGACACCATCCCATCAACTACAGCTTTCTATTTCTCACTCAAGAAAAAAAGACATGTATTTCTAAAATTATAAAAGTTGTCAGTGAGGTATCTGCCCCTTCTCTTGTATCTATTACTTCCAAAATTCTGAGAAAGGAAATTGGAATTCAAGTGAAACCCTCTTGAAGTTTTGATTCTCACCACATTTTCAGAGTTTCTTCATCAATTCCTGTGCTAAGTACTGATCTACAAAGAATTTTGATCTCTTTAGATACTGATGGCTAATTTCTTCCCCCAAGTTTCTACTTCCATACTTAGCAAAAATAATTGTTCCAATGAGGGCTCCTTAATGTGATTAGTAAGGGCCCTCACTTTTTACGGGCATGATCCCTCTGCCTTCTGCAAATTCAACGGTTTGGGGATGGAGGGTATCAGCTGGTCGCCCTCACTGAGTCACAACTTAGTCGACAGAAGTGGTTTATCTCATCTCACCGACTTACTTCACGGTCTATGTCTCATTTATTTGTTGTTTTGGGTGATAAAGCTCTGATAAAACAAATATCAACAGAAAGTACTCGTGGGTGGGCCATGGATTGAACCGTTCTTTAGTAGCTAGCTTGGCTATTCTTTTCTTATGTGTTCCTCTCTTTATTGCGAATACATCCTTGGTCCCTGAGCCTGGCTCTACCCTTTTACTGAGTGATCACAAATTGTGTTGTGTGTGCTCTTGCTGTTCGGGCTCGGTAAAGCATAAATTATTGAGTGGATCCAAAAGTACGTCGCCAATAAGTGAGTGGGCTCCATTGGAGTTCAAACCAGCATACCAGCAGAGGGAGAGACGATTGTGTTTATCTTGACCAAGGGGTCATTGGCCAAGAGAATTTCAGGTTGGTGTGAGTAATGATTGTTGATGCTTTTGTATCTAAACATATTTTAGGCTATAACTCCATTGTCAGTTTAATTTATTCCGGAGGAGGATTTGGTGTACTTGTCATTTATTAAGTGAAGGAATCCAACCGATCCAAGGAAATTGAAAGCTAGTCTGTGGCTTCATGAATCTTGTTTCACCCTTCTATACTGTGGAAACTTCTTACTATAATAAAAATTTGAAAAATGTTATCATCATTCAAGTCTTATCCCAACTATATGGGATTAATTAATTACATGAATCTTGTTTTACCATACTACTCTGTTTAAAATATTTCAAAATAAATTGAGAAATGTGTATAATACCTACTATTGTTAATCCAACAAAACTTTAAAACAAACTTAAAATAAAGTTGACCTGATTATAAGGGGGGGACAGGTTTTGGGATTCTACAACTTATACGGGTATAGATAGGGTACAGTATTAGGCTAAACTCAACCCCCCATTCGTATATTGTTGGAAAGCAATATAAACTTTATGTATTAGGTCTTGAATTTAATAATATTTTAAATTTTGCATGAGGGATAATTTATATATATATTCTTTATATGCCCCAATCAAATAATTATAAATTTTGTTGTTTATTTGTGTTATTTTATTTATTTCTTACTTACATATGACAAGAAATAATAGAAAATTAGATGTGGGTTCTAAACCCAATCACCCCTAGGGTAGTGTCGGAAAAGGGTTTTGCATTTTCATGTGCGGAGAGAATTTGGATTTTGAAAACCCATCCCACTATGGGTTTTAGAGGGAGTATGGATTGAGAGGTTTAGAGAGGTAAATAGGATCTAGAATTTAAAAAATCATCCCCCAACCCACCCGATTGTCATCCCTACCTACTGTGCAGGACAGTGATGAGAGTGCCATGCCACCTAGCAGGGCCGTGGGAGTCACCACCTGATTTTTCCTATCATAAAAAATTAAGGAAATGGAAGAAGAAGAAGAAGAAGAAGGAGGAGGAGGTTGCAATATGATTTTTCCTATCATCTGATGACTCCATAACCAATCCCTAACCAAACTAGGTAGGGGATTAGGATATGAACGTTGAATGTGCTAAGCACCACAGGCTTGCTTGGAATTAAAATTCTGGTCTCCACTTCATTCCTTTATCCTTTGGGACTTAAATTTGCTATATATTTTGGCCTTGATGCAGCCCACGAGAACCAAGGTTGCAACCCCAGACTGCAAGCAAGATTGTAGAGATCAGCGAGTCTGAGTAATAGATGATGAGACCCGGAAGAACCCATGCTATGAAGCTACGAGATCATCAGAAGATTGCAAGGATCGCTGATCAATTCTGTCTTCCCACTCCGCAAGATAGCACGAGAGAACAGCCCTCACCTTGTGATCTTGCCACTATGCCAGAGCTTTGATACCGACCCATTCTCCTGTCGTCAGCTGCATTCTTATCGAGCTGACCTGCCCATTATAAGCTTATTATCAGTGTACGTCTACGGATCTTTTCTTTCTTGTTTAGCCATTTTTGTACAATGTTTTGGCACCCTGTAATAGCTACCAACATTTTAGAATCTAATTAATATGGTTCAGATCAGAGTTTTTCCTTCGGGCATTCTATCTGTTGTTCCTTCTCTCTTGTTGGCCTTGTTCTAGAGCCACAGAGATTCAGAGAACCCAAACCCTTACTGTTTGTCTACGTGATTAGAAACTAAGGCCACTACCTTGAAAGGTTGCAAAACCAAGAGGATTGTGTTACTGAGCTACTTCTGTTTCAATTCGCCACTGTTGCAGTGCTCCTAGTTTCTGTCGAGTTATATGCTTTGTGTGAGACTCATTCCTTTAGAGAACTACTGGCCACACCAGGCCTATTTCAGTATAGAATTAGTGGTACCTCAGTTTTGACTACTCAATTCATCTATTAGTGTTTAAAAGAGTAGAATTGTCCTCATAGGTCCCAAAAAGCCTGTTTCCTAGCTTAGCCTACATGCATTGGTACAAAGCTACATATATGATATGCGAGCATAAGCATAAGCATTATTTGTACTTGATGCATGAGCAAAAAAATGCAAGTAAACAATTACAAATTGTTTCTCAAAATTAGTGGAATCTTTCCAATTAATTGGATTATACTCACACTTAATATGATGTACGAGCCAAGGGGTGAGCATTCAGTTTATTCCATTAAAAATCGAACCAAATAATCTGAAATTTTAAAAATTGAACCGAAACCAAAATTTTTGGTATGATTTTCGGTTATTTCAGTTAAAACCAAATTTTAATAATATATACTTTATTATATATTATAATATATAATATATAATTATATGTTATATATATTATATATTATATATAATAATAAAAAGTTCAGTTAATTCGATTAACCGAATTTCTAATTCTAAAAACTGAAACCGAAAATCGAATTATATGGTGTTTGGAAGCGTTAACACTTTTTTGGACCGATTTTCAAGAAAAAATGCCCATGCTTCCAAGACCCGTTTTTCAAAAAAAAAACGCTTCTGTCACGTAGGCAGTAAGCAATACTATGCTGTTTGGTAAGGTGATTTTCTTCACCGTTTTTCATGTATGTGCTGACAGGTAAGCACCACATAGGATACACATCAGTCAACCGTTGGGGGAAACGGTTCACCAATAATTTGGCGTTTCATGCATCGGTGGGGTTGTGATTTTCGAGGTATACCCGATTTTTTAATAATCGACTGAACCAAACGGTGAGATACATGATCATTTGTTGAAACACCTATGTGGACCAACGTGGCACCATTTTTTTAAAAAATGGCCACGGTTCCAAACATCCTTTAATCAGAAACCGAAAAGGCCAAAACCGAAATCTTTGGTTTTAATTGAATAGTACACACCCCTACGTGGTACTACTTAGGCGTATCCTAACAAGAACACGCTATATAATTTAAGCAAGACGAATACATCAAAAGTAAAACAACAAGATTCACAGATGGAACAAAAACAATTTCAAGTCAAGAGGATGACAGAGGGAGAGTAGGACACGTCCTCCCAAAGTGGAGAACTTGAACATTATTTTGCTTCAACAGTTGATGATGGTGAAGTAGACATCTTCACATGGTTTTAGAAGACTGTTGAGGTGAGGCCAAAGGCTA